AAACAATCTAAACAGCGTCTCTCGACCTCCTGCACAGGACGTGTGGGAGTAGAGAACAAATAAGAAGGTGCAACCCCTAATTAAGAGTACATTCATCTATTTGGATCTACCACAGAAAATACTCTGCTGTCTACTTTTAGGAAGAAGTGTGTCTTTAAAATGTTGCAGCACATTGTGAATCAGAATGCTTTATAAAATGTTGAGAACAATCAAACAGGCCATTACACCCTTTGAATCTTAAGACGACTGTTATGTAGACCATGCAGAACTAAGTGCTAAAAAGCAGACCCTATTGAATCACTGATCCATCTCAAAAGCCTTCACAGCGCGTAGATCCTCTCTTTCTCCGCTGCTTTTGCTCCTTTCTTTGATTTCATCACGGTAAAGACGACGGCAGAATAAACCTGATCTCTCTGTAACAACACAGTGAAGGAGATGAGAACAATCAACATGAATATAAAGTCAGAAAAGTAGTTTTATAAACTTGAATCTTACCTTTAAACTCTCCAACATCTGTCTTCTCCAAACATCACAGTTTTCTCCCAAAGCATCAGATGCTGAAATTAGGAGAGAGACAAAAAAAGATTAGGAAACATTTAAATCAAACATTATTTTATCAAAATGAAACAAGAGTAATCTTTATTACCGTTGTGTGTTTGTCTTGATGGCATGAATAAGGAAGGCTATAACGATGAGCGTGAGGGCCAAGGCAGCACAGAGCAGAAAAGTAACTGTGGTTTCCTTCAGTGAAAACTTCCCTGAAACAGAATTAGAAGAAAACGTCCTGATTACAAGATTTTAAAATTAAATTGTTAAATGCAATTTATCCATGAAGCCATAATTAGGCACTTGAATCTGTTTTACTGATACTGTTATCTTCAACGTCCACTTTGGTCCCATCTCCAAATAAAAGGCGTCCACATGTGTCCACAGCACAGTAGTAAGTCCCAGCATCAGAGGAGCTGATGTTCTTAGAGAAGTGATGAACACAGCTTTTCTGAGAGGCAGATCTCTCCTCACATCCATCACGTCTGTTTCCAGCAGTGTAGATGATGTCTGGACGAGATTCATGTGATCCGGCTCTGAACCACAACACGCTGTGACCTCCGGGACACGTTTTACTGTCCGGGTCAGAGAGGACTGAACACTGCAGAGACATCAAGTCTCCTGGACGGAGCTGATCAGAGACTGTCGGCTCCTGAACGACTCTCAGCTCTGTTGTCCTCTCAGTGTTTCCTGCATGAAACCAACAGACCAGGAGGTCAAAACAGAAAAACGTTGTTTCATGTAGAAAAAAAAGGTCTGCTCTGATGGCATAGAGCTGACTTTATACCAGAATATTTTAAAATCTGATCTAATTATAAAAAAGCTGAGAGACCACAGACATGAGGACAGTCTCGACTCATTTTTCATTTCATAATCCTCTGACACACGAGACGATTCAGCGAGACCATGAGACCACACACCTGCTGTTTGAAGTAATAAAGTAACGGAACAACAAGCCTCGAATTGGGCCTCTGCCTTTACGCTTCATTTCAGCTGCTGTCTCTTTAAGGTCCCCTCCCCAAGTGCCCACTCTCTTCTGATTGGCCAGCTCTCTATAAAACTTCTAGGGGGCAGAACACTGCAGGGCTGCAAGGGGAGGGCTGTTCTCCATTGCTTGGAGAAGAGAGTAAATGTAAGAGGTTTCAGCGGCTTATGTAGATGCTTGATCTGAAACTTTACCCATGTTTACTTTGGGCATCCAGCATTGTAACACTAATGTGAGTTTAAAATGAGGATCAGCAGAAAAGGTTGACTGTACTCAAACTCGGCAGATTGGCACTGAAATGGAGTAAATGTGGAGCTGGTTTATCCGAGTTATGACCACTCGAACATCGATGGAACTCCAGTTAAGACAAATGAGTATATTTCACATACAGAATGGTTTTAACAAACTATAAAAATATTGTAAAGCTACATTTAGCACATTTATTATCTCTCTGCTGATCCTGTCATGTGCACATTGTTAGTATTCTCAAATCAGGTTTTGTGTTATTAAAGGGTTAAAGTTCGGAAACTGGATTTCATATTTGATATTTATGAACAGGGCTGCAGCTGCTGAAGGTGATATTGGATGTCAATATAAGATAATTAGGGGCAGATTTTTTCACATCTATATAGCACAGATTTAGATCAGCGTCTTCTGAACGTGTAAAACGTGTAAAAATATATCACATGGTTACCTTTGACGACCAAATAAGTTCCGCTCCATTCAGTTTTGCTGATCCACTCAGTGACCGCACAGTGATACATTCCCTCGTCCTCTTCACTCGTTCTCAGGATGGTCAGGTTGTTGGAGTCGTGGTCATATTTGACCTCAAATCTTGACTCTGAGAACTCTGGTGAGAAGATGGGTTTTATAGCTTTCCGCACAGTCACCATTAACGTCAGAGTATCCCCGTTGCTCTGCTTGTACCAGCTCAGTTCTCGGTGGCTGATCTCGATTTTGGGCAGAGCACATTTTAAGGTCGCAGGTTCACCGAGTTGAACCGTGGTCACTGGAACATGTGTGCCTGGATGAATCAAAACACATAGAATTAAATGCAGAGAACGATGTGTATTCTTGCTGATGGTTCCAGTTGGCGTGCTGAGAATGAGAAAACGATTACTTACATCCTCGCTGAAAAAGAAGCAGAGTAACCCAAAACAGCTTCATCTTGACTCGGTCTCTTCTTTGATAATGTGTTGGTTCATCAGCAAGTGAAGGAAATGAAGCTCATGTGTCAAACCAGTCAAATGGATCTGATTGGTTACCACAGAATACATACAAAAAGTGAACATCCTGTCATGTAGGTGTCAGCCTGGTCTTGGCGAAGCATATTACAGCTCTTACATCATTTTAGCCAAAGACGAGCGATTGTGACCTTTGCACACTTTCCTTCCCTTGGTGATTGCTTCTTCCTTTGAAGCAGCAGTTGCTGTTTCCAGTTCTCATCTGTGATACTTCACATCTTTTACATATTGGAAGATAAACAGGGTGGCTTATTTAAAGAACAGGATTCTTAAATCGTTATCCTTCAGAGGTCTTAAAAGTCAGGCTGAACTAATGCTCCCTTTTAGACTGACCTTACATGAACCAGAGCTAATGAGCATTTGCATTTGGTGCGCTCCCTGCATAGCAGTGTGTCTGACATCTCTCCACTAGTGCATGTCCACAGGTCCTGTTTGTGCATGTGTGTCATTTAGGCCTATGTTTGTCTCTCAATAACAGAGTGTAAACACCAGAATTTACCTCAGGGAAGAATAAAGTATATATCTTCAAATTCAAACTTTTCATCCACAAGGCCCAGTTGTTTAAAGCAACAATATGTAGAAATTAGTTGGTCCATTTTGGCACCGACCAAAGGTCGTTAACTGCACATAGTGCTGTTAAACGCACAGTATGTAAAATCCGCCACCAGGGGGCTCTCAATCAAAACAATAAGAAAAGATAATGTCGAAGCCGGCGGGGAATCATGGGAATGATTCTCTCTGCTACTCCCCCTTCCCCTCCCCCTGGTGAAAATGAACTCTGTGTTGATCGTAGTAAACCGACCTGAAAAAGAGAATATGTTTTTCCAATGATGTATCTGAGTTTAATTTACATGACGTTTTTATCACTGCAGCACATACAGCAACAGTACGACAGCTTTCAGTAGCAGCTCCCGCTAGCTTATGCAGCGGTCTTTGGCGTAACATCTGGTGTTTCCTTGACAACGATAAACATTTCGTGTCTGTCATGGCGGTCGCCTAAAAGACACGGACCATGTCAACTATAAAATTACAGATTCCCTGGCTTTGATAACTTTTGGAAAAATTTGAGGTAATGCAAGTACTCAACAATAAAATGTATATAACATGGGTTTAGTTAATCTTTAATTAATCAACATATTTTAATGTAAACATTTGTGACAAATATGTGTAGACGTGGGCGATGGAAGAAGGTAACATATTAACACTTAGTATTAACCTCTGTGAACACATCTCAGTGAAACAAGCTGTCATGGACACGAGCTCTCTATGCTGTGGGTCTATTGCTGAAAACAAAACAGATATTTTGAATCATTGGGTTTCATTTTCCCAACAAAAATGTAAATGAATGCAGTAAAACACGTCTTTAAGTTATTCAAAAAGGAAGCCTATTCTCATCTTTCTCCTGCAAATCAAATATTCCCCCCAAAGAGCGCGGACAAAAAACGGCACAAGCAGTCCATAGCGAAGTCGTAAATAGTTTTTTTAGAGTTTCATTTCCCCTCGACAATCCTGACGTGGGCATAGATGCTCTCTTTCTCCTCGGTTTGTACATCTCTTGTTCGTGCTCTGCCAGATTTCCTGCTCGTGAAGGTTGGTGCGGAATAAATCAACGAGTCCTCATCCACCTTAAATAATTAAAAAGAGGATTGTTAGGGGATAGCAGCGTTGACAATTTACATGACATCTTCTCTCGGCTTTACTTACCTGCTGATTCTGCTGATCACCACTGGCTGTTTCTGCTCGTCCCTGCAGAGCGACGTCAGCTGTATCATGAAATAAAAACACAGACTGAGTTTCGTCTTTAATCGTTTAATTGATTGATGTACTAGGGACTCTGCTTACCATTGCAACAACCACAAGATGCATTCTTGAGCTTTCTTATCGAATAAATAAGAAAGGCGATAATTATGAGGCATATAGCCAAAGCAGCACTTAACAGGAGGAGGAACAGGTGGTCTGTCTTTGAGTCCTCCTTCACTGCTGGAACAAAAATAAGCAAAGAATCAAAGTAAGTAATCAGTGATTAAGACTCATGTAAAGGGGACATGCTGTGAAAAATTCACTTGTTCAGTGTTTTTGAACATATATTTGGGTAACCTGAGAGTCTACTGACCCACAACATGTGAAATAAACCCATCCAGTCCTTTGTTTGTGGTCTGCATAAGTCTTACAACACAGAGAAAAATGCTCTGTTTCTAATGTGCTCTCCTTGTGATGTCACAGTGGGATTGTGATAAAAAAAATAACCTCCAATCCGCTGGTATCTCCACCCATGGACTCCACCCCCAGACTAGAACAAAACTTTTGAGCAGGTCCGCCACTCTACAGAGGAGTGATGACTACTGGGAAAACTCAGGGGGGGCTCATTGCATTTAAAGAGACACACACACCAAAACGGAGCGTTCTGAGAGAGCTGGTTTATACAGGGTCACAAACCTCCTCTGGTGCTTGATTCATGTTATATTTTGACCAAATCACAGCACAGATGTTTCATTTAGACCACAGGGGACTGTTTGAAAAGGTAGTAAAGGGGAAATGTCCTCTCTAAATTTTATGACACAAGGATTCAAAAGAAAAACATGTATGAGTAATAGATCCGTTGAAAACTTTTGATACGGTCGATCACGACCTCTGTTTAAAGAAATGATCTTTATCGGGTTGGATAAAGTGCATGTGTCTGGCTTCAATATTACTTGTTTGACAGGCGTCAGTGTGTTGAGTAGGTGTGCCACAAGGTTCAATCTCGGGCCCCATGCTTTTCACTGTGTATATGAGCGATATTGTTTCTTCTTTGAATGGTTGTCATGCCCATCTCTATGCAGACGACACTATTTGTATTGTATGCAGATTCTGAACAATTAGCGTTCCATGTGAACACTTGTCTCCGAGTTGCGACAAAATGTCGGCTTTCTATTCAGAAACAAATGAAGACTGTGGCGTGCACACAGTATGTGGAAATTGGGAGTTATAGACATACTGCAGCCTCAACTCAACACCCTCTGGACGCCGTCTATCAAAGACTTCAGTTGCCTTTGGATCAAGCTTTAAACATTGCAGTTTAAAGCCCCGTCCCTTTAACTAGCCTGCTGTAGCTGCATGTTTTGACAAATGAAGCCAGGTCTCAATTACAGGCCCTCATGCATTTAGTGTTGATCAGTTAGTGGATACAAAATCAGGAGAAAATAAAGATTAACTTAAACCTGTGCTCGTGTGCATACCAGCCATGCCATCTTAAAAACCAAAAGAAAATTCTTCATTAGTAACTTAATTTGTTTATTGATATCCACAATATTCTTTTTGGTTGCTATTTACAATTTTTTTTAGTATTTTCCATCTTCTGTGCAGGAGAGTTTGTTTGAAAAAGAATTAAATAATAATAGCTAACTTGTTTTATTTCTTGAAAGATTTCTTTCTGGGCCCCTTGTGCCCCTTAATGTAGAGACAGGACAGTTGAAAAGAAAAGAGAAAGAGAGAGGGAAACGACACGTGGGAAAGGAGTCTCAGGTCTGACCCGAACCCAGTGTGCTGTCCGAAGGCCCACAGCCCCAACACATGGGGGGACGCACACCATCCACTCCACCACCAGCACCCCCAGCAGCCGTTATTACGCAGAACAAGTCGAAGGATATCTCTGTATGATGCTTTTCTTCTTTGCTGCTTGATGTGGTTGTTGTAATTTCATGAAGATCTTGTATGGAGGGACAGAGATAGCATGCTGGGAAGCTGATGTCATGCTTTTTAATGCTTCATTTATTTATCAAATTATTATATATTTGTTGGGTTAGGGTTACGGGTTACACTGTTTTACAATCAGTAACTTTTACATATAAACTTGTTTATCAAATTGTACGATTAGAAACTGCACTTTATGCACTGCTGCACTTTTACCAATGTACCTTGCATTTGCACTTTGCATTTGTTTTATGTATCATCTGTGTTTTATGAAGTATATGTGATTCTCACTGCAACCTAAGTGGTACCAATAAAGTCAGTGAACCTGAACCTAAAGGCTCGTCTTAGTTGGACGACTGTCCAAAATAAGGCTTATTTCATAGACTAAGGTAAATACAAGTCAGGGCACTGAACTCATCATTTCAAACACCAAGGAAACATTTACCTTGTTTGGCCGAGTCTGATCTGTTTCCAGAAGTTTTCTCCTCACACGTGTCCACAGCAAAGAAGTAAGTCCCCTCACCAGAACAGCTGAAGTTCTGAGTGACACTGCAAATACATTTCTTTATCGAGACTCCAGCCGGGTTCCTTTCACTTCCTTTAACACTGTTCTCTGGAGTGAAATTCCATCTTGGATGAGACTGATGTGATCCGGCTCTGAAGCAGCACGCACTGTGTTCTCCTGGACAGGTTTGCTTCTTCTCTGAGTCTCCCGGACCGACCGGATCAGGAGGACGGACTGCAGCGTCTCCAGGTTGTGCTGCTGGGAGATTCAAATCTGATTTTTAAATGTAATTCTGTCAACTCTCAACACAATCTTTTACAAATAGCTAAATTAGTGTAAATTATAATTAGCTCACCTTTAACTGTCAGGTTTGTTCCTGTCAGAAAAGTCAAGTTTCGTTGATTTGTTCTCATACAATAATAAAATCCTGTATCCCTCAGCTCTGCTTTTCTCATACGCAGAATAAATTCTCCTCCCTTATCTCGTTGTTCCATAGTTGTAATGCGTGAATTCTTCACATCCAAGCCATTTGCTTTTCCTAAGTATTCAGGAAAGTTTCCAGAACCGAGGCGGATCCAGAAATAGCTTCCTGTAGAGTCAAGCTTACACTTCATTTCAACCTCGTCTCCGACTGCAGCAGTCTTTTCATCAAAGGACGGATGATTCATGCATCCTGAAAAGACATTCTGTCACATAAATATAAGAGATGACAGACTTGTGCATGCTCTCTTCTTCAACGTTAAACTTTAGTTCTTTACATGTGTAGGAATATTTGAGAGTACACTTACGTCCCGCTCTGAGCATCATCAGCACATTAAGCACAAACAGCATTTTCTGGTGAATCCACTCGGCTGATGTTTTGACTGCGAGGTAAAATG